ATGCTGGCTAAACTTTTTTTTCTATTATATATAATTGGCCAATTAATTTCTTTCTATTTATAGTAGAGACTGGGTCTTGCTCTTGCTCAGGCTGGTTTGAACTCCTGACCGTGAGCAATCTGCCTGCCTCGGCCTCCCAGAGTGCTAGGATTATAGGCATGAGCCACCATGCCCGGCTCTGGTTCACCAATTTTTAAATTGGGTTCTTTTTCTTTTCTTTTTTTATTTTTATTTTTTTGAGACAGAGTCTCGCTTTGTTGCCCAGGCTAGAGTGAGTGCCATGGCGTCAGCCTAGCTCACAGCAACCTCAAACTCCTGGGCTCAAGCGATCCTGCTGCCTCAGCCTCCTGAGTAGCTGGGACTACAGGCATGCGCCACCATGCCCGGCTAATTTTTTCTATATATATTAGTTGACCAATGAATTTCTTTCTATTTATAGTAGAGACAGGTCTTGCTCTTGCTCAGGCTGGTTTCGAACTCCTGACCTCGAGCAATCCGCCCGCCTCGGCCTCCCTGAGTGCTAGGATTACAGGCGAGAGCCACCGCGCTCGGTATATTTTTCTTTTTATTATGAGTAGTTGGAATTCTTTATATATTTCAGATACATATCCCTTATCAGATACATGATTTGCAAATATTTTCTCTCATTTTACGGGTTTTCTTTTCAACTTTCTTGATGGTATCCTCTGAAACGATTTAGTTTTGATGAAGTCTAATTTATCTATTTTTTCTTATTGCTTGTGCTTTTGGTGTCATATCTAAGAAGGTCATGGCCAAAGATTACGAAGATTTACCCCTATATTTTCTTATAAGAGTTTTATATTTTTAGATCTTACATTTGGCATATGATCTATTTTGAATTTACTTTTGCATATAGTATGAAAAAGGGATCTAACTCTATTCTTTTGGATGTGGATATCAAGTTGTCCCAGCATCGTTTGTTGAAAGACTTCTTTCCCACTGAATTCGTCTTAGCACTCTTGTCAAAATCAACTGATCATAAACGTGAGGGTTTATTTCTGGACTTTGCTTCTATTCCATTGATCTATATGTCTATCCTTATTCCATTGATCTATATGTTGTCCTTGTGCCAGTCCTGTGCTGTCTTCATTACTGTAGTTGTGTAGTTAGTTTTGAAATCAGAAGGTGTGAGTCCTCCAATTTCGTTCATGTTTTTAAAGATTGTTTTGACTATTTTTTGGTCCTTTGAATTTCCATATGAATTTTAGGATCAGCGTGTGAATTTGTGCAAAGAAGCCACCTGGAATTTGATTAGGATTTGACTTGAACCTGTAGATCAATTTAGGATCATTGTCATCTTGATAATATTGTCTTCTGATTATGAAATATGTATGCCTTTCCATTTATTAAGTGTTCTTTATTTCCTTCATCATTGTTTTTAGTTTGGGGTATAATTTTTATGCTTATTTTGACAAATTTATTCCTGAATATTTTATTCTCATTGATGTTATTATAATGTATTTTCTTAATTTAATTTTCAGATTATTAATTATTAGTGTATAGAAATAAAATTGCATTTAGTATATTCATCTTGTATCCTCAACCTTGCTTGAACTGTTTATTAGTTCTATTGTTTCTTTAGTCGATTCCTTAGTATGTAAGTCTATTATTAGATTATAACCTCTTATAATTTTGCTTAGTTGTTAGCAAAAAGTTATTATAAGATACAGTGCCAAGAGTCTGGTCTTATTTACAAGAAGATCTGCTTGGTTTTGAAAATGCCTTGAATTTGTTTCTTTCTAGAAAGTTAATCTTCATATTCATACTTCTGTTTGCTACATATATTTATTGCGTTTATCATCAACATTTATATAAACTTAGCACAAAACTTGCCACATATTAGGTGCTTAACACATTTGTTGAATTAATATGCTTTCTGTGACTATGAGTAGTTGTAATCATAATTCATCTTACTCTTTGTAACACAATATGGAAATACAAAAAATTATTTAAAATCATAAGTAATGTAACTTTACAGAAAGTTTAAAAAATGGAGGAAAAAATCAGCAAAATTGCTTTCCAAAATGCCAGAAAAGGTAGCTTCTTCAAGCTGTTTTAGTCTAGATGTTCTTTTACCCCCTTATTACATCAAACCATTTGTTCCTTTGGGAAAGTTGCAGTGAATATTAACTCCATGTGTTTTTAGTAATACAAATCAAGTAATACTTCATGTGAAAGTCATCATTACATCACCTGTGGCATGAGGATACTATGTAAGAGGGATGGAGGTGGGCATGAGAATTAGCTCAGAATAGTAAGTGAAATGAAGCCGTACTAAATAATTCATCTGTTTAAATGGAAGCTCATGAGAAAAATGTGAAACTGTAGGTGAGAAAAATGGCAATGGAGAAAGATTTAAAACTAAAATACAGCCTAGGTGCAGTTGCTCATGCTTTTAATCCTAGCACTTTGGGAAGCCAAGGCATGAGGATTGATTGAGGCCAGGAGTTCAAGATCAGCCTGGGTAACATAGTGAGACCCCCATCTCTACCAAAAATAAGAAAAATTCGCCGGGCGTGGTGGCGTATACCTATAATCTCAGCTATTCAGAAGGCTGAGGCAGAAAGATTGCTTGAGGCCAGGAGTTTGAAGTTGCAGTGAGCTGTGATGATGTGACTGTACTCTAGCCCGGGTGGCATAGCAAGACCCTGTCTTAAAAAAAGACCCAACAAACTTAAAATACAATCTTATACTACCATTGTGCATAAATTGGGTTCTTTTGGCTTATCCGGTTATTTTTTATATTAGTCATATTACTACCAATATGTTTATTGTAAGACAATGGTATATAGCTTCTATTATATTCACCATAGTACTCTGAGAGATTTAGGCCAGGGCTATGCCATATTGGTCTCAAGCAATAGTACCATCCAGGACCAATTATTGCTTTCTCCAGAGGTCTCTTTCCAGAAACCAACCTATCCCCAATTGCACATATTTTGTGTCTTCATTTTTCCCTTTAGACACTGAGCTTGATTTAGTTTTGCATCCAGTTGACTGAGTTCTACCTGATAGAAATATAAACCCCAAAAGAAACATTAGAAACCACCCCTTAGTCCCCAGAAAAAAAACATAATAAAACAACAAATTAGTACTATAAGTACTACATAAGTTATATAAGACATGATCTTTGATATCGAGGAGCCTATTCTTTAACTGAAACAGTTAAAGAATAAATGATACAAAGTAGTATAATTAATGCTCACTTGCGTGAAACTTAATAAATACTGTAATTCAAAGAAGAAAGAGAAAGCAATGTAGATTGTAATGGTTGCTGAAAACTTCATGGATGTTGCTGGCGAGACTTAACTGGATTTGAGTTACGTAAAGACAAAGGGAGGGGAGGAGGTATATCAGGTGAAGCCAGCACTATGAATAAAGAATACATAGATAGGAATGAACAAGTTGTCTTCAGGGGGCAGTGAGCTAATTACTCTGACAGTGGGTAAGTTTTTTGGGGGAGAAGTAGAATGGCAGTATATTATGGAGGGCCTGGAAATGAGCCACAATAGTTACATAAGCATACAACATGCAAGAATGAAAATGTCATTGGAGGTGGACAGTATTTTAACTGGCTAAGGAAATACTTCTCTTTGACCAGGTTGAAGAAATGGCAGTAAACCTGTGGAATTGGGCAGTTACCAAGAGAGTAGGTTTGCTTATAAATGAAGAGCAGAAAACTAAATGTACGTATACATTTTGTGACTCATATTATGAAGAATGTTTTTACTATACAATTAGGTAGTATTCCTGCAGTTTAAATAATATTTTGACCAGTTCTTAGATGGAGATTTGTTAAGACAACCAAAAATAACCCAGAATGAGTGGTTTATTAAACAAATAGGCTCCCTCAGTTTTATGATTTTTTCAGAGGTTAGCTATTTATTAATAGATGTTTAAAGGCATCACTGTAAGAAATAATCTGGAGGTGAGCAACAAAGATTATTAAAGGGTGGGAAAATGAGAACTTGAACAAATGTTGAAGACGTGGATTATTTCCTGTGGAGAAGAGGTGATCAAAACTTTCAGGATTCTGAAGGACCATCAAATAGTAGTTTCCCCTTTCCATTAATAATAGAATGTAAAGTGTTGCTATGAGAGTAGGATTTAGATTTTAAAAAGTGTAAGGAATAGTTTCTTCATGAGGTGAATTGATAAACATTGGCATGAATTACTGAGAAAAACTGTAGTTCTTTTATACCTGTGAAGCAAACAACAAGAACAAGAACAAAATAAAAACCCCAAACCAAACTCATCTTCTTGGATGCTTAAAATGTGGTCCACTGTCTGGCAAAGTTCAAGTGCTTTAGCTAAATGAGCAAGATCTAGTTTGCTGACATTTACTGGTTTTCAACAAGTGCAGTGACAGCAATACATTTATGGAAAGTATCTTGCCCTATTATAAAGGATACATTGAAGCAAGAAACCAAAGGGTGAACCTCTGGACCGCTTGACTTTGTAAAGATAAATGGCTTTTGTCTGTATACAACAAATAGAATTTACTATTAAGTATTTATCTTTATAAATGTAAACGAAATTGTATACAACTTCCGTGTAGGTATAGAATAATTGTGATTAACCTAATCAATAATATACTTACTCATGAGTCCAATCCTCTATTAGGATGTTTAGAGAACAATTCTCTCTCTTTAACTCTCAGGTAAATGTTGATATCATTGCTCCTAGGACCCTTAGAATATACCCTCCCCTCCTGTAAATATGGGGAGGGAAGTGTTAGGAATTTATCTGTGGGAGAAATTTAGCACACAGGAGAACTGTGCAACATTAAAATGCTTTCAGGCTGGGAAGAGATATGTTTTTATCTTTCTTATGTATATAGCTAAGAATAAAATTGCTGGATCATGTGGTAACTCTGTTTAAACTTTTGAGGAATTGCCAGATTGTTTTCCAAAGTGGCTGCACTATTTTATATTTCCACTAGCAGTATATGAGGGATCCAGTTTTCTGTCTTCTTTTTTTTTTTTTTTTTTTTTTTTTTTTTTTTGAGACAGAGTCTCGCTTGTTGCCCGGCTAGAGTGAGTGCCATGGCGTCAGCCTAGCTCACAGCAACCTCAAACTCCTGGGCTCGAGTGATCCTTCTGCCTCCAGCCTCCCGGGTAGCTGGGACTACAGGCATGCGCCACATGCCCGGCTAATTTTTTATATATATATTCAGTTGGCAATTAATTTCTTTCTATTTATAGTAGAGACGGGTCTCCGCTCAGGCTGGTTTTGAACTCCCTGACCTTGAGCAATCCGCCCGCCTCGGCCTCCAAGAGCTAGGATTACAGGCGTGAGCCCACAGCGCCGGCCTGGTCTTCTTGATTATATTTGTTATATTTGTCTTTTGATTATGAGTATGAAGTGTTAATCTCTTTGTGTTTGGTTTTTTAATCATGGTAATATATATATATATATAAAACCATCTTAACTATTTAAGTGTACGGTTCACTGGTTATTAAGTATTTCATGTTTTGTGTAACCATTCTCCAGAACTCTTTTTATCTTGCAAAACTGAAACTCTATACCTATTAAACAATTCTACTTGCCCCCCCTGAAATTAATATGAATTTTAGGATCAGCTTGTCAACCACCATTCAGCTTTCTATTTCTGTAAATTGACTACTCTCGTACCTCATGCAAATAGAATTGTATAAAGTTGTCTTTTTGTGACCAACTTATTTCTCTTAGCAATAATGTCCTCAAGGCTCATCCATATTGCAGCATGTGTTCAGAATTTCCTTCATTTTTAGGTTAATAATATTCCATTGTATGTATGTACCGCATTTTGTTTATCCATTCATTGCCTATTTGCCTATTGTGAATAATGCTGCTATGAGCATTGGTGTGCAAATATCTGCTCAAGTCCTGCTTTCAATTATTTTGTATATATCCAGAAGTGGAATTGCTGGAATCATATGGTATTCTATTTTTAATTTTTTTTTAGACAGGGTCTTGCTAAGTTTCCAGGCTGGCCTTGAACTCACTGGGCTCAAGTGATCCTCCCATCTCAGCCTAATGAGTAACTGGATTATAGGCACATGCCACCAAGCCTGGATTATTTTAATTTTTTCAGTAACTGCCATACTGTTTTCCCAAAGCGGCTGCACCATTTTACATTCTCATCAGTAGTGCACAGGGTGCCAGTTTCTCCACATTCTTGCCAACACTTGTTATTCCTCGTTTTTTTTGATAGTGGCCATCCTAGTGAGTGTGAGATGGCATATCAGTGAGGCTTTAATTTGCATTTTCCTGATGGCTATGATGTTTGTTGAACATTTAAAATTTTTTTTAACTTCAGTATATTATGGGGCACAAATGTTTAGGTTACATGTGTTGCCTTCCTCCCTTCCCCCCAGAGTCAGAGCTTCAAGTGTGTTGATCCCCCAAATGGTGCGCATTGCACTCATTATGTATGTATATGCCATCCCCTCCCTCCCCCTCCCCCATCTGTTTATGATGCCTGATAAATGTTATTCCTATATGTGCACTTAGGTGTTGATCAGTGAAACCAATTTTGCTGTGAGTACATGTGGTGCTTATTCGTTGACATTTTTTAATGTGCTTATTGCTATTTATATATATCTTTTGAGAAATGTCTGTTAAGATCGTTCACCAATTTTATTTTATTTATTTATTTATTTATTTTTGAGACAGAGTCGTGCTTTTGTTGCCAGTTAGAGTGAGTGCCGTGGAGTCAGCCTAGCTCAAGCAACGTCAATCTCCTGGGCTCAAGCAATCCTGCTGCCTCAGCCTCCCAAGTAGCTGGGACTACAGGCATATGCCACCATGCCTGGCTAATTTTTCTATTATATATAATTGGCCAATTAATTTCTTTCTATTTATAGTAGAGACTGGGTCTTGCTCTTGCTCAGGCTGGTTTTGAACTCCTGACCGTGAGCAATCTGCCTGCCTCGGCCTCCCAGAGTGCTAGGATTATAGGCATGAGCCACCATGCCCGGCTCTGGTTCACCAATTTTTAAATTGGTTCTTTTCTTTTCTTTTTTTATTTTTATTTTTGAGACAGAGTCTCGCTTTGTTGCCCAGCTAGAGTGAGTGCCATGCGTCAGCCTAGCTCACAGCAACCTCAAACTCCTGGGCTCAAGCGATCCTGCTGCCTCAGCCTCCTGAGTAGCTGGGACTACAGGCATGCGCCACCATGCCCGGCTAATTTTTTCTATATATTTAGTTGACAATGAATTTCTTTCTATTTATAGTAGAGACGGTCTTGCTCTTGCTCAGGCTGGTTTCGAACTCCTGACCTCGAGCAATCCGCCCGCCTCGGCCTCCTGAGTGC